AAAAAAAAAAAAAAAAAAAAAGTTAGCTTTTACTTGGCTGGATGCAGTGGCTCATGCCTGTAATCCCAGCACTTTGGGAGGCCAAAGTGGGTGGATCACTCGAGGTCAGGAGTTCAAGACCAGCCTGGCCAACATGGTGAAACTCCATCTCTACTAAAAGTGCCCAGACTGGAGTACAGTGGTATGATCTTGGCTCACTGCAACCTCTGCTCCCGGGTTCAAGCGATTCTCCTGCCTCAGCCTCCTGAAGAGCTGGGATTACAGGCACATGCCAACACGCCCAACTAATTTTTGTATTTTTAGTAGAGACGGGGTTTTACCATGTTGGCCAGGCTGGTCTTGATCTCCTCACCTCACATGATCTACCTGCCTCACTGGCGTAAGCCATCGCACGTGGCCTTCCTTAGTTTCTTTTCTTTTTTTTTTTTTATAGACGGAGTTTCAATCTTATCAACCAAGCTGGAGTGCAATAGCACGATCTCAGCTCACTGCAACCTCCACCTCCTGGGTTGAAGCGATTCAACCCTGCCTCAGCCTCCCAAGTAGCTGGGATTACAGGTGCACGCCATCACACCCAGCAAATTTTTGTATTTTTAGTAGAGAGGGGGTTTTACCATGTTGGGCAGGCTGGTCTCGAACTCCTGACCACAGATGATCCACCCACCTCAGCCTCCCAAAGTGCTGGATTACAGGCGTGAGCCATTGCACCTGGCCTTCCTTAGTTTTTTGACTTCCTTTTCTACGTTTCTTTTCGCAAAAACAGGCAAATATGTTATTTTTCCTTTTTTTTTGTTTTTGGAGGGATCTTTAAAAAATATTCATCTGATCAGATCCTTCCCCTGCTCAGAGCCCTCCGGTGGCTCCTTCTCACTCAGGGGAAAGGACAAGGTCCTCCCGAGGCCCCACATGACCTGGAGATGCCCCTCCAACCTCCACCTCTCTACTCTCGCCCATGCTCACTCTGCTCTGGCCATATACACTCTGGCTACCCCGCCCATGAACGTTACAAGTCAGGGCCGTGCTCCACAATCCTCCTCTGCTCTACCTCAGCCCACGGGCCTCACTCCACGGAGGGAAGGGCTCAGATGCCGCTGGTCTGTGAGCTGTCTTGCTTTCCTTCACGACATGAATTGCCACTGGACACCTACACGTTGCCATGTGCTTTGCTGCCTCCATGAGAATGAATTGGAGCCATCCCACTTTGTTTACTGCTGCATGCCCAGTTTAGCACACTGCCTGATACATGGTAGGCACTCAATTAATGCAGAAGAAATGAGCAAATGGTATAGGATCTCCCTCAAGGTAGGGACTATCTTATACCAGGTTCTTATTTCTTCCCTGGGTTGGGCCTTCCATGCTGACCTGATGAGACCTGCACAGGCCCGTTGGAGGAGCTGACTGAGGTCCACTGCCCTGGCCACCCCCAACCTCCCAGATGTGCACCAGGACCCAGAAGGCATTACCCGACAGATCCCCGAGCATCTCGGCCAGCAGCCAGCGGTCGATGTGCTGGTAAGTGATACCCACAACATGGCAGATAACTGTGGAGGTCAGAGACAAAACTGGTAAGGAGCTGTTCCCCCGGACCTGGCTGCCACTCCCTACCCCTTCCCCTTGGGGAGCCCAGCCTCAGAGAGGGACTTACATTTTCGGACAGAGTCTTCAAAGCCAGTTATACCTTCCAAGAGGTCCATGTTTTCATCCAGGGCTTGCTGTGATGGGAATTGAAGTTCACAATGTTTATTCTTTTAAATTATTTGCCTTTATTTTTATTTATTTATAGGGTTGGGGTCTCACTATGTTGCCCAGGCTGGTCTTGAATTTCTGGGCTCAAGTGATCTTCCTGCCTCAGCCTCCCAAAGTGCTGGGATTTTGTTGCTGCGGTTGTTACAGAGACAAGGTGTCACTATATTGCCCAGGCTGATCTCTCAAACTCCTGGGCTCAAGTGATCTGCCCACGTTGGTCTCCCAAAGCGTTGGGATTACAGGCGTGAGCCACCACTCCCAGCCTACACTGGTAATCTTACGTATCAACAACGTTCATATCAGTAATTTTAACAAGAATAGCAGCTACCAGGCCATGTGTGGTGGCTCACGCCTATAATCCCAGCACTCTGGGAAGCTGAGGTGGGTGGATCACTTGAGGTCAGGAGTTCAAGAACAGCCTGGCCAACATGGTGAAACCCCGCCTCTACTAAAAATATAGAAATTAGCCAGATGCAGTGGTTTATGCCTGTAATCCCAGCACTTTGGGAGGCTGAGGCGGGCGGATCACCTGAGGTCAAGAGTTTGAGACCAGCCTGACCAACATGGAGAAACCCTGACTCTACTAAAATTACAAAATTAGCAGGGCTTGGTGGCACATTTCTGTAATCCCAACTACTCGGGAGGCTGAGGCAGGAGAATCCGCTTGAACCCAGGAGGTGGAGGTTGTGGTGAGTTGAGATCACACCACTGCATTCCAGCCTGGGCGACAGAGGGAGACTCCCTCTCAAAAACAAACAAATAAACAAACAAACAAAAACCCAGAAATTAGGCTGGGCGCGGTGGCTCACACTTGTAATCCCAGCACTTTGGGAGGCTGAGACGGGCGATCATGAGGTCAGGAGACTGAGACCATCCCAGCTAACATGGTGAAATCCCGTCTCTACTAAAAATACAAAAAATTAGCCAGATGTGGTGGCACATGCCTGCAGACCCAGCTACTCGGGAGGCTGAGGCAGGAGAATCACTTGAACAGGCAGAGGTTGCAGTGAGCTGAGACTGTGCCATGAACTCCAGTCTGGGAGACAGAGCGAGACTCCGTCTCAAAAAAAAAAATATATATATATATAAAAAAATATAAATAAATAAGCCGGGTGTAGTGGTGGGTGCCTGTAATCTGTAATCCCAGCCAGTAGGGAGGATGAGACAGGAGAATCACTTGAACCTGGGAGGTGGAGGTTGCAGCGAACCAAGATTGTATCACTGCACTCTAGCCTGGGCGACACAGCCATACTCCATCTCAGGGAAAAAAAAAAAAAAAATAGCAGCTACCATTTGAGCACTGATCCCACATGCTAGCCATTCATCTGAGTGCAGCCCTGTGATGTAAGTTACATCCATTTTACAGATGAAAAGACCGGGCCGCTAAGTGATTTACCCAAAATCCTAGAGGTGAGGCTTGAACCTGGCAGGCAGAAACCAGGGCCTTGAGAAAGAAGACAGACACGTATTGGCTAAGTGTATGCAGCCACCTCCCCTTGCTTCTGTCCCACTCAGAGAAAAGGCCAATTTTCCTACCATAGCCCATGAGGCCACACAGAATCTGCCTGTCACCTCTGTGCCCTCACCCCTGCCCACTCGCTCCTCACTCACCCTGCTCCAGCCACAGGGGCTTCCCTGATGCTCCCCAAACCCACCAGGCACCTGCCCATCTCAGGGCCTGTGTGTGGAATTCTCCTCCTCCATGGCTACCACCCTCACCTCCTTCAGGTTACTGCTCAAAGGTCAGCTCTATGGTACAGGTTCCCTCCAACAGAAGGGAGGGAATCCCCCACGTGGATGCCAGGAAGGTGCAGCCAGTGAGGTGGGCAGATATCCAGATTTGTGGCCGGGAGTCATGGCTCAACCTGTAATCCCAGCACTTTGGGAGGCTGAAGCAGGAGGATCACTTGAGGCCAGAAGTTCAAGACAGCCTGGTCAACATGGCGAAACCCCACTTCTACTAAAAATACAAAAACTGGGCCTATAGTCCCAGCTACTCAGGAGGCTGAAGTGGGAGGATCACTTGATCACTGGAGCCTGGGAGGTCGAAGCTGCAGTGAGCTGTGTTTGCATCACCGCACCGCGGCCTGGGCGACAGAGTGAGACCCTGTCTCGAAAAACAAAACAAAACAAAACAAAACAAACAAACAAAAAAACCCTGTCTGTTACATGGAATAGGTCTACGATCTCCAACACATCTCATTTGCTAGTTTGCTAGTGAGAACAGTCGTTTGTAGAACTAGTAAACTCTATTATTTTAAGCATTTGATCATTTTCTTTGTGGGATTAACTGAAGCTAATCAATAATTTCTTACTTGAATAAAAAATAAAATGTTTAAGAATTAAAAACAAAAAAGTATGCAGTCAGCCGCACATAAAATGTCAGGGTCTGGGATGGGAGCAGGTGCAATTTCTGCAGTGGCTGCTTCTATTTTCTCCTGAGACAAGAAGCCAGATCATAAGTTGAGGTGAGAAGAAAGGGAGACAGATAAAGCATGAGCAAACGTCCAGGAGTTGGGGAAGGAAGCAAGACCACCGCTGCAGCTGGGGACAGGGGAGGCACATGCATTTTGTTTGTTTGTTTGTTTGTTTGTTTTGAGATGGAGTTTCGCTCTTGTTGCTCAGACTGGAGGACAATGGCATGATCTCGGCTTACCGCAACCTCCGCCTCCCAGGTTCAAGCAATTCTCCTGCCTCAGCCTCTCGAGTAGCTGGGATTACAGGTATGCGCCACCACGCCTGGCCAACTTTGTATTCTTAGTAGAGGTGGGGTTTCTCCATGTTGGTCAGGCTGGTCTTGAGCTCCTGACCTCAGGCAATCCGGTCACCCCGGCCTCCCAAAGTGCTGGGATTACAGGCGTGAGCCACCACGCCCGGCCAGCACATGCAATTTAAGAGAAGGAAGCGAAACAGAGAAGAATGCAGAGACAGAGGGTTGGAGCTAATGGTCAGGCCCAAGAACGTGGGGATGGAGAACCTGTGGGGGTGAGCTGAGGAGCTGGGAGGAAGCGGCGAGAATGGAGATGCTGGAAACTCACAGGGGGAGGAGGGGAGCCATTATTGGTGAGGGCAGTGGCTCCCAACATTGGCCAGATGTCCAAATCACCCAGGGTAACTTTTTAAAATCCCAAGGCCTAGG